CGAATTCTGAACTCCTATCGATATTTATCTGTGGGGCCACAATAAACCAATCTGTCGTTAATTAATTTCGATCGGATCCTCGTAATGGAAATAAATACGCACTCATTTGGCAATAATGTCGGGAAAGAGGAGCCCCGAATGGCAAATGAAATGTGATCTGAATGAACTATTGAATCTTCGGCTGTCGACGCTGGTTTTGTTAATTTGTATTGTAAATAATCATTACATGGTATAAAATAAAGTCGCTGTCGCTGTCTGCCCCTATGTATACTTAAATCTTTGAAACTACGCAACGGATTTTGACGCTGTTTTTTTTTAATAGATAGAGTGATTCCAGAGGGAAGCTTATATATATAATGTACACCCGGGCGAGTAGCTAGTTACATAGTATAAAATAAAGTCGCTGTCGCTGTCTGTCCCTATATATACTTAAATCTTTGAAACTACGCAACGAATTTTGACGCGGTTTTTTTAATAGATAGAGTGATTCAAGAGGAAGGTTTATATGTATAATAATACATGTACACCCGGGCAAGTAGCTAATTACATAGTATAAAATAAAGTCGCTGTCGCTGTCTGTCCCTATGCATGCTTGAATCTTTAAAACTACGCAATGGATTTTGACAGTTTTTTTTTAATAGATGGAGTGATTCTAGAATACGCTTCAAAATCCGTTACGTAGTTTTAAAAATTTAAGCATACATAGGGACGGACAGACAGCGACAGCAACTTTCTTTTATACTTTGTAATAATAATAATGATCTAGTACCCATAACATAATCTGTTTATCTTAGGACTAGATAGCGCTCTGTGAACTGTCGACGGATATTATATTATATATTTTATGCCTCTTTCCGTAGGAGTAGGAAACCACTATTAACTTGCTCCTTTATTTCCCAAATTGAAATTTTCTATGTAGAGACAAAACGTTTTGGTGTAAGGGCGGCGCGGCGCGAGATGTTTTATGGTACATTGAGTTTAATTTGGCTATAAAGGTGAGAGCATTTAATCTTGTTGTGGAGTATGTCATGTATGAAATGTAATTGGTGACAGTTCGTCGGCTTCACGAGAAATTCATTAAAAAAACGATAGTCTAGATCATTGTTTCCTAAACTTTTAGAAGAAGGGACCCCATTTTTTTAATTATTGAAAATCACGAGAAATTAAAAAAAAAAGCGATAGTCTACAGCAAGTTTTCCTAAACTTTTACAGGAAGGGACCCGATTTTTTTAATTATTGAAAATCACGAGAAATTCATTAAAAAAACGATAGTCTAGATCAGTGTTTCCAAAACTTTTTACAGCGGTGTTTCCTAAACTTTTACAGGAAGGGACCCCATTTTTTTAATTATTGAAAATCACGAGAAATTCATTAAAAAAAGCGATAGTCTATATCTGTGTTTCCTAAACTTTTACAGGAAGGGACCCCATTTTTATAATTATTGAAAATCACGAGAAATTCATTAAAAAAAGCGATAGTCTACAGCAAGTTTTTCCTAAACTTTTACAGGAAGGGACCCCATTTTTTTAATTATTGAAAATCACGAGAAATTAAAAAAAAAAGCGATAGTCTACAGTAAGTTTTTCCTAAACTTTTACAGGAAGGGACCCCATTTTTTTAATTATTGAAAATTATTGTTGCTGGCGTCTTGTCTACAATTATTTTTATAAATATTGTATTTTTGATATCTGATTATTTTTATATGTCATTTTGACTACATCTTCGCTGTGAGCCCATTCGGGAAATATTTAGTTATTTAATTATTCTTTACTGCACTTTTAAAAATTGTACAAATTGGCGAGCTTAATGCCATACGGCATTCTCTACCAGCTAATCAATAGGTAAGAACAGAAAACGGTTGATGAGCAGTCGTGGGAAAGGACTAACCTATAATATTACCTAACATAGGTAAATAGGTCTTTAAGAATACTTACAAATATATATACATAAATATAAATATATACCTACTATAATACATAATAATATATAAATATATTTGACGACCTCGGTGGTCTAGCGGTCTGACATATCGCTTTACGGCCGATGGTCGCGGGTTCGATTCCTCGCACGGCACAAACATTTGTATATATGAGTATGATTGTTTGTATCGGTCTGGGTATTTTCTATGTATAATATGTATATATTTACAAAAAAAAAATATCTATGTATTTGTATCAGTTATCTAGTACCCATAACACAAGCTTTAGCTAGCTTAATTTGGGCCTAGATGGCGCTGTGTGAATTGTCCTGAGATTATTATTATTATTATTATTATTATTATTATTATTATTATATATACATATCGCGAGTGAGACATGAAGAGAAGTCTTATAATATTTAATTATTTATTTGCGTCTTAAAATCGTATTTACATCCTCTTACGTCGTTCTGTCAACTCTCTCAAGATTTTTTTTTAAATAAAACTATGATAAAAAAAAAATTCATTATCCTTCCACTCATATATTTATATATATATATTAAAATTATTCTGATTTTTAATACAATAGTCGTCCACTGTTACACAAATGTTGCCACCATTACAAGTCATGCACACACAAACACACGCACACACATACACACACATACACTCATATACACGCACATATACATACGCACGCACACACACGTACGTACGTAACCTTTTCATACGCTCCAACTTTTTTTTTAAATTCTTTATTAAGTTTTAAGTTTTTTGCTTTTGTATTGTGTGTCTTTTACTGTTTAAGTTCATTTTATATTAAGTTGATTGTAATTATCAGAGTTCTTGTGCATGTTTAAGTATCTACCTAATAAATAACATTTCATTTAATTTCAATTGTGAATGCCTCTATATACCCCATCTGGTCAAAGTGTCGTGAAGGTGCTATAAAAATCAATGTACAAATAACAAAAATATTATTAAAACAAAAATACAATCTTGAATTTATCGTAACAATTCAATTAATTATCGTTTTATTTTTTAATCAACTGTGTCAATTAGCTTTAATTCATTTACTTTGACTGTAGGATAAATTGAGGCTTTTGTTTAACTCAGTTTAATTAAATCTATACATTTATATAATAGCTAGCTGCACCCGCAACTTCGTCTGCGTGGAATTTAACTTTACTTTTATAAAATAAAAGTAGTCTAAGTCACTCCTTATTACATCAGCTACCTGCCAAAAAAAGTCCCATTAAAATCGGTCCAGCCATTTCAGAGATTAGCCGGAACAAACAGACCGACAGACAGACAGACAAAAATTGTAAAAAGTAGTTTTTTGGTGTAAGTACCGTATTTATATTCATATGCATGTAGTAAAAAACGGTTTTTTCAATATTACAAACAGACACTCCAATTTTATTTTTATGTATAGATTAATTAATTTAAGATAAAAATACCTAATTAAATAAATACGTCAATTATAAAAATATTTCTAAATGGAATCATATTATTGCACACAGTTTTTTTTATAATTAAATATAATTAATTATTACGTGTTTATAAAATAAAATTAATATAGTTTACCCCTAATCATGGTGGCTGAACATTGCTCAAATATCGGGAGCTCAGCAAATAAATATGAAACGTGGTAAGATCCCGTGATTCCGAAAGCCGTCTCAGATGGTATGGCCATGTAATGCGCAGTGACGAGGATTACGTGGTCAAAGAAGCCTTAAAACTACCCGAACGCAAAAGAGGTAGAGGACGTCCTCCAGCCACCTGGTGGACCAGTATCAACAAGCTTGTCGCCGCGGAAAATTGCCCGACCCCACAACCTGTTGTCCTGGCGCCGAATAATTAGGAGAGCCGACACCGCATAAAGTGGGACAGAGCTAAGAGGAAGAAGAAGGTAAGATCCCGTGATTTTTACTAATTATACGTATAATAATATTTCTATTACTTGCTTAATATTCATAGTATAATCACTAATAAGAATGGGGATGTACATATTATCCTAAATTATTGATATATAGTTCATATAATCAACGTTTTCCTTCTGACAAAATTTCATATAATAATAATAATAATAATAATAATAATAATAATAATTTATTTATTTGCCTGCTACATGGTAATTTTGATCTTACAATATAATAGGTATAAGTACACGACATGCAGCACCCCGTAGAGGTATGCAAATATTGAAAATGATATCATAATTACAATATGTCATTAAATTTAATTAAAACATTATAATAATAAATAAAATAATAAATGTCATATTCCTACAAGAATCAGTAAATTGTATGTATTCCTATAAGAATCAGTAAAGCCATTTCGGAAATGTTTTTCTATTTATAATAATATCTATTCCCGGATATCGAATTCTAGGTTTGTTACCTTAATTTACTTATACACCACACTACTTCTTTACTATAGAATTGATTTTTTTTTAATTTATTAAAAAAAATTAAAAAATACCGAAATACTTTAAAACTAGAGACACCACACTACTTATTTACTATAGAAATGGTTTTCTTTAATAAAAAAATAAAATAAATACAGGAATACTTTAAAACTAGAGATTATACTTTTTATATAGGATTATACAAAGTTATGTTTTATTTTATTTTTACATTGTAACGGATATCATAAAAATCAAGCCGTTTAGGAAGAGTTTTGTTGCAAGCACTGTGACACGAGAACTTTATATATATATTAGCATATTTAAATATAATTATTACACCCGGCTATGGATTGATCAATAACGATTGATGAATAAGTAAATGAAATGCGTTTTTAATTCGCAATTAAAATTATAATTGTAATTCTATGTATACCCATCTGTGGATTGATCAATAATAATTTATGAATGAGTACATCAAATGCGTTTTTGAATTTACAATTAAAATTACAATTACTATCATATGTATATTTAGCTGTAGATTGATCAATGATTGATGAATAAGTACATCAAATGCATTTTTATTTCGCAATCAAACTATTTGAACCGCTCTGGGTTATGACCACGGTTTCTAGTTTAACCCAATTTAAACCGAAGTTAATGAAGACTACCGACCTTCGTATTTGGTATTCAGGTGAGTCCAAACTCCGCCGCAGTCCACACCGGTCACCAGTTGCACCAATGTGAAGAACACAATACGACTGCTCTAATTAATATGTGATTTGTACGTGGGCGATTATATGTCGATGACGGCCAGTTGCACAGCGGTAAACCGCGATTAATGATAAACGACACAAAGCATCTTGCATTTGAAGACTCTCTGATCTAGTGGTTTAGCACACAGTTTTAGAATAGAATAGAATAGAATAGAAAATCATTTATTCAAATAAACTTACATTGAAGCACTTTTGAATAGTCATTACATTTTTTTTAATCTACCGCTCGTTCGGAAAGCTGTCTCATCACAAGAAGAACGAGCAAGAAACTTGCGTGTTACTCTTTTAAATAATTTTATTATTACTTTACATTTTTAAGTTTAAGTGTATGAATACAAACCACCAATTAGCACTAATTCAATTAAATACTCAAAAAGAAAAAATATTGAATACATAACCAACTGGTTAAACAATTAATAAGAGGAAATCAGTCATAGTGATTAGAGCAGACCAGTCCCTACAAGCAGCACCCGTTCACGAGTATGACGGATGAGCCAGCCATCACTGCGCTCGACCATATTTTAGGGAGCCCAATGACCCGGCCCACCACGCCGCCACAAGTCTGGACATTTTAGTGAGCATGACTACTCAAAACACTAGACCAAGTCAAAGCTACTCACAATTGCCATCTGATAGTTATAGTATTCACATTTTACATAAGAATGCATGCGGCAATTAATACAAAAACCGCTACGCTTTCATATTTCTAAAATCAATCAATTAAATCAAGAAAGCAATGAGAAAATAAAATTTTTTAGTTTCGATAGTCGCGAGTTCGATACCTTTAACTCTGACTGACATTGTTGGATTTGACGGTCTCGGTGGTCTAGCGGTTTAGCACAGTCTTAGTTTCGATAGTCACGGGTTCGATACCTTGTACGGCACAAAAATTTTTATTCATGAGTATTATTGTTTGTATCTAGTACTGTTGGAAACTATTTTATACCTTTTTTATTATCTATGTTTCTTATAATATTATATTGTTTTTATATAACTTAAGTCATTATTACACAATATTTTACGATTGTTCGTGTCGATCTGGGTGTTTACTATGTATAATATTAATATAATAATATAAACATTTGTGGATAACGAAAAACGACAGTCAGCAACAGGCGGACCGCAGCCAAACATGTGAACCATCTTTCTCAAAGAGACATCTGTTAAATCATATTTACTGAGCAAGGCCTATTACTCACTAAACGATTACTTGAATGACGAGTGTGCATGGCAATAGTTGTTCATGCACTGAATTTTCATTTAATGTTAGACATAGACACCTATATAAAAAAGCATTGTAAATAAACTGGCTTTAAAAAAAAAAGTGATTCAATTGAGTTTCTTGCCAGTTCTTCTCAATTGGATCTATATACCGAACTGGACGGTAGGGAAAAAATAAAATTATAATGTAAAAATTTTGACGTTCATAAGCGGCTAAAATGTTCTACATGAATAAATTATTTTAAACTTAGATTTTTTTTTTTAATACAAACGTTCCTAATTTCAGACGCCCGCTTAGAAGACACTTCGAATTTGCTGTTCCTCTCGAGTATCAAACTACATATAAATTACTGGTTCAAGACCATCAGTGTAATTTTCACATTAATTTCAGGTCTTATGTTTTATAATTCAGAATTTGATTTTTAACCAAAATAATAAATATATAACACTTAATTATTATCAGTTGTCTTTTTCAGCACCTCGTCAAAATTCTTGCATGCATTTGACGGGCCAGGTGGTCTAGCGGTTTAGCACACAGTTTTAGTTTCGATGGTCACAGGTTCGATACCTCGTACGATGCAAACATTTGTATTCATGAGTATGATTACTTTTATCGGTCTAGCTGTTTTCTTAATATGTATGTATTTCCAAAAAATATATATCACATAACATTAGTTTTACTTAGCTTAACTTGGAACTATGTAGGTGACACTGTGTGAATTGTCCTGAGATATTATTATTATTACTACAAAGTTATTTTTTTTGTACCGAATCTGAACAGATGTACAGAGATGGTCTCTACCCTGTCAGGTTCGAAACAATTATAATCTAGTAAGTTTGTCACCATGAGCTAACTGACCTGACCTCATGTTCATCGTACATCCTCCATTGTCCACCAGTGTATCCATTCCACTATTATCCATAAATAAAAAGATGTGCCGAAATTCAGAAAAATTATTAAAAAGTATTTATTCTTATGTAAACTTAATTAAATTTTATAAGTTAATTAAAACTTTATACATTAATGATGCCTAGTAAATGCCATAAACTTTAATAGAACCTCAAATGGTTTCATAAAAGCGGACATTACAAAAATTAACTTATAATGATCACATCTGGCATACTTGGGAACAGCCGCCTCATTATTTAATGCAGTTGCTAACATTTAACATTTGAAACAAAATGAATCTGACAAGTTTGCGAAGAGAATAAAATAGAAAAATAATTTAAAGAAAGAAACAAAGAAAGAAAAATATTTTATTCAGTGCAATGTAAAAAATACAATATAAACAACAAACGAAAATAAAAAGAGCAAATAAAATGTACATATAATTAAACTTAATTTACCATGTAATAATTAATCATAAAATTTATTCAAATAATCTAACATTGAAGCACTTTTGAATAGTCATCACATTTTTTTTCAATTGTGAAAGCTGTTGTGTAGGTACAAGAAGAATGAGAAAGAAACTTGTGTGTTGCCCTTTTAAATAATTTTGTTCTTACTTTACATTTTTAACTTTAAGTGAAATAATACTTAAACATACAAACTACTTACTTAGCACTAATTCAATTAAATACTCAAATAGAGAAAATATTAAATATACAACCAACTGGTTGAGTAATTAAATAATAGTAAACCAGTCGTAGTTATTGAGCATACCAGCCCCTACAAGCAGCACTCATTCCCGAGTATGACGGATGAGCCAGCCATCTCTGCGCTGGACCATATTTTAGGGAGCCCAATGACGCGATTACGTATAAATTATTAGACAGTTGCTGTAATGAAATCATCTGGCATGAGAGCAGCCGATTTATAACGTTACACAGTTCCTAAAAATTACTTTAGAAGCAAATTGAAATTGACAGTTTTGCCAATACACTCATTGATTCTTTCATAATTTAAGAGCTACGCTCTTGTCGGTGGAGCTCTTGCCACTTTCCGCGATCTTCCATTACACTCATATGGTACAAATAATGACTAATGAGTGTCTGCGCACCCAACGCACCGCTCCGCGGGCTGCGAGGCCGGTGCTGCGCATCGGCTACTGCGGCCGGTGTCGAACACCGGGACTTCTTGTCCGACCGACACCTACACTTATAAATAATAATAATAATAATCTCAGGACAATTCACACAGCGCCATCTAGACCCAAGTTAAGCTAGCTAAAGCTTGTGTTATGGGTACTACACAACTGATACAAATACATAGATATTTTTTTTTCGTAAATACATACATATTATACATAGAAAATACCCAGACCGATACAAACAATCATACTCATGAATACAAATGTTTGTGCCGTGCGAGGAATCGAACCCGCGACCATCGGACGTAAAGTGGTGTGCTAGACCGCTAGACCACCGAGGCCGTCTTATAAATAATTCCACCTTTCTTAGTTTAACATACACCTGTCTATCTTTCAAAACTGTTTTCATATTAATAGTAATAATAATAATAAAGACATTTATTCAGCATTACAGTATTCTTAGATGCTATCTATCTTATATACTATACAACTTAAAAGCTAAAAGCTATTACATATATTAATAACAGTCCACTAGTTTTATTGGCTATCCAGGACTTAACAATGAGGGGAACAATACTAAAATCATACCAACAAACAATATATCTCCGATCAATTTTCAAATTCAAATTCAAATTCAAAAATCATTTATTCATGTAGGACATTTTAGCCGCTTATGAACGTCTAATTTTTACATTATAATTTTATTTTTTTACCTACCGTCCAGTTCCCTACCGTCCAATCCCCCGTCCAATTCAAACAGGCATCAAAACTACTACAGCTTGAACAGACGTTATAAGCTCTAGCGGTGCCCTCAGACTAAAGTCGTATGTGTCAGCAGGAGTTGGCCTAAGCAGTTCCATAAGTCGTTCCGCGGGATTATGATGCCATCTGCACTCGTCGCCCCTATCGTTTTTTTTTATATAACACAGGGGACAAACGAGCATGCGGCTCACCTGATAGTAAGTGATTACCGCCGCCCATGAGCACCCGCAACACCAGAGGAATTGCAAGTACTTTATCGGCCTTTTAAAAAGGAATAAGCTCTTTTCTTGAAGGTTTCAATATCGTATCGGTTCGGAAATACCATTGCTGGAAGGTGATTCCATTATGTGGTTGTGCGAGGCAAAAAGTTTCTAGAAAACCGCACTGTGGAAGACCGCCATTCATCCAGATGATCAGGATGGTACGTTCGGAGCTGTATAGGCCAGCTGCGGCCAACAGCATTAGACTATTGTAATAGTATTAGCCTCAACAAAAAAAATACGTGAATAAGATATTTTTTAATTCATATTATTATTTATTAGCACATAGCTCGTAGGAAAGATGGCCGTTGGGGCAATGAAGTCCTCGAGTAACGACCACGGATCGCTGGAAGGCGATGGATGCGAGCAGCGCAGGACCGATCGTCGGTGACCGCGGACCGGAAGATGCAGCAAGGCTTCCAGCAAGGTGGACCGACGATCTGGTCCAGATCGCTGAAAGGCGAGCAGCGCAGGACCGAACATCGTGGAGATCTTTAGGGTAGGTCTTTGTTCAGCAGTGGACGTGTTGATGGTGATGATGATGATGATTATTATTATTTAACTACACTGCATTACTTATAGTGATTATTTTTTAATTATAAAACATTCAATTTTACTTACTGATAATATACCTATATTAAATACTTTCTATAAATGAAAAAGAAAG